CTGCCCCTGACCCGACTTTCAGCAACATTGTCAGTACAGATGTGTGGGTATTTTAGGGTTTTCCAGAGAAACAACCAATAGGATACACATAATACACACACACACACACACACACACACACACACACACACACACACGTTGATTTACTATATGGAATAAGCAATTGGCTCATGAAATTATAGAAGCTGAGAAGTCTCAGATCTTCAGTGGGCAAGCTGGAAGAGCTAGCAAGCTGGAGACCTGAGAGAGCCAGTGGTTTGGTTCCAGTGTGATTGAAGGCCTGAGAACCAGGAAGAGCCAGTGTTTCAGTTTGAGTCCAAAGGCAAGAAAAAGCTGATGTCCCAGTTTGAAGGTGGTCAGGCAGGAAGAATGTCCTCATCTCTGGGGGAGGATCAGCCTTTTTATTCTATTCAGGCCTTCAACTGATTGGAGGTGACCCACCTATATCAGGGAGGACAACCTAGTGCACTGAATTCTAATGACTTAAATGTTAAACTCATCCAAAAACACCCTCACAGAAACACCTAGAACAATGTTTGACCAAATATCTGGGCATCCATGGTTCAGTCGAGTTTACACATAAAACCAGCCATCACAATGAGGAAGGCAAAGGTACAGGCTATTCTCCACAGAGGTCTTGGCCTTTGGTAGGTTCACTGGACAATGTGTCAGCAGGCTGGCTGTGAGGGTACAAGTGATTAGGCTGTCTAGGCAGTGGGTCAGGTGCTCTCCTCTGACTCATGGAAGGGAGGAAGGGACTTCTCTCTGCAGCTTCCTAAGCTCTTCAAGTCTGGCCACCAGAGGTCAGATGGCCCCAGACCTCCAGTGCAGGTCAGGAGGAAATGCACACGAGCATGGGTGAGGTGAATTGACCCAGGTGACAAAGGTTCATGCTGAGGACGAAGGTTGGTTTTTAGCTCTGTGGTAGAGTGAGTCAGGTTCTTGGGGGTAGGTGGACCCTGAAGGAGACATGGTTGCACTTCTAAACCAACCCCAACCTTGTGACAGGGAGGGGAGATGTGTCCACCCTTTCCTAACTGCCCCGGATGACTTTTTCTCCAGTCATCCCCATCCCTTCCTCCTCCCAAGTTCTCTTCTAGTGCTTATCTCTAACTGCTTGCTGCTGTGGTTGAAGGGAAAGCAGTCAGCTCAAGATCCCACTCATGTCAGGTTACAAGATTACCTCCAAACAGGATTAGGCTCATCCTTACAAAGCTGAATACTTTGCATTGTAGAGAGAGTGGGGTCTCATCCTTTCTACACAAGGCTTACCCATGACATGTTGTAAAATCTCTCCAACTGGAATGGATTGTGTTAGCCAAATGTAAATAAATTATGCTCCCAAGTCAGAGCATTTCATTAATATGCTGTACATAATTCATCCATAATTAGGACTTTTGAATATTGTAAAGTACAGTTCAAATAGAATAAGAAAATCATAGCAAACACTACTTATTGCTCATTGAGTGCCCAAAGATCCTGTACTATCAGCCTTATATACATTTTGTGGTCAGAATAATCCTGTGGGGTAAATGCTGTTACTTGTCCCCCTTTTCCAGATAAGGAATTGTGGCTTTGGGAAAAGAAGTAATTTGCTAGCATAGATCCCACATTGGTTAGACTGGACATGTCCTGACCCCATATAGCCCATCCCTTTAACCCTGTGGTATCACCTCCAATAACAAGCAGCTATGACCCAAAGAAAGCTCTCAGTCCAGTCAGAAGGCCCCTACTTGGCCCTTGTAATCCCCCAGGTTTGGCAAGGATAGCATCTCCACACACGAGTTACAAGCATTGATATGGTAGACACAGACAGCCAAGGGGTCTGCTGTTAACTGTGGCATTACCAGAAAAATAGCCTCGGAGGCAATTTTCTTTCTAATGCTTGAGACAAGGTTGCATTTGAGAGAAGAAACTTCTCAGCGAGAAGTCTACTTCTGCCTTTTCCAAACATGTACTTGGCCCTGGCCCACCTTCAGGCTGAGAGGGGAGAGCCTGCTGGGGGAAGATGGAGGCTGGGAGGCCATGCTCTACCCCACTGCTTTACCAGCTTGAAGGGAATTGTGGCCCACCCATTATTACCCTTTGATGGCTTTCTAACAGGAACAGAGAGGACACTTGGGTAGCTCAGTTGGTTGAGACTCTGACTTCAGCTCAGGTCAGGATCTCATGATTTGGGAGTTGGAGACCTGCATTGGGCTCACTGCTGTCGGCACAGAGCCCGCTTCAGATCCTCTGTCCCTCTCTCTCTTTGCCCCTCCCCCACTTGCACTGTCTCTCTCAAAATAAAGAACACAATAAATAAGGAAGTAAATAAGTAAAGGAGAGAATAAAGAACTGCCTTAAAGGGGATATTGTTGGCAACCAGGTTTGGATGACTTGGTAAAGGAGCAAGGCCTACCTGTGAGTCACGTTGCTGTCCAGTTTTCACAAGAGAAGAGCTCCAGGCACAAAGAACCACTACTTTGGTTTTCAATTAAAACAAACGCTCACAGACATAACCAGCAACTTTATAGGTTCATATATAATGTAGATGTTGATCATATCCAAAGTGAAGGAGAGAAAATGCTGTAGCACGTTATTTATTGCCTGTCCCTGTCTGTAGCTTTCTGAGCTTAACTTGAAAGCTGTAAAAGGTTAGACTGAGGAAGGAGATGTAATATAGTGCGGCTAGCATGTTTCTCCTTCATCTGTGAAGAGCCTCCTAGAAAAAGTGTTATTAAGCAGAGGTAAAGCCACTACTGAATTTACACTGTGGGATCAGACACATTTCAGTTGCTCAGAAGATCTAGAATCACATCTCTTTTTCTGAACGTGCCAAATGCAAGCAGGAGCTGGCCCCAGCAAGCAGGAGGCCCCTTCGTTTCCAGCTGAGCCATGGGTTTGATGGTGGGGGACTTGCTACTGATTCCTGGAAAATGTGGTTGTTTGAAAACAGAGCGTGTGATTAGTTCCTTTTGTTAAATGGGTGAGATGCTCTGTCAGCAGTACATTGCTGCATTGCCTTGACAGCTACATACTTATGCCTGTCCAGGTGACTTCCCAAAGAAGAACACATAAGTGTTAAGTATAGTGAATCCTGTGTCAGACCTAAAGGCCGAGGATATACTGAGGACCTTGAAATGACTTCAGTCATTTCACCCCAGCCACAGTCCAGTGCAGTTCTGAATGGAGATAGATGCCTCAAAAACAGACCTGCCATATTTTTAACGAAGGGGACCCAGTTTTTATTTCCCTAAGACCTATAGAGATTACCACAGGAATAGTGCAGGTGCACTGAGGCTAAGAAAAAGAAGAGATTCATGGTAGGTGTCTGCTTCCTTGTTGGGAGTCCGAGCAGACTGTAGAAATGGGGAACAATGTGTGATAACCAGCTGGCTACCCACAAAAGAAAATGTCCAGCTTTGGCAGGTCAGAGTCCCTCTGCTTCAGAGTTCAGTTAGCACACATTAAGCTTAGCCTGGATATGTCCTTCTATGACCTTTCAATATCCTTGCAGTTGGTTATTTTCTGCCTTCTGAAAGTCGAGGCCCTGAGCATCTCTGCAAGCCTTGTTCATTGTGGAGGGCAACTGGGGTCCATCCTTTGGGGTTGGTGTGGCTCATCCTTTTTTTTTCCTGAACCACATTAAAATTGAATTTGGAGTATTCTGGCTATTCGTGGCATTGTTAGCCTTCCCAAGGGCCTCAGAAAGATGCCAACGATATATCCTCTTTCAAGTAGATTATCATGTGCATCTAGGTACCCCTACCTCACACCTGATGTGGTGGAGTTGCAGGGGGCCCGACATTGTCCAAGGATAGCTCTGTTCCCCAGCTCCTTTTCCTTGCAAATCCTCCTTAGTGCTCACTGAAGTTTTTAGAGCTCTCAAACCCCAGTTGTTGAGAGGTCAGAGAATTAGGTGGTGTAGTAACTGGCATTTTGCCCCATGCCCATTTTAGTGTCCCAGTTGTTATTGTAGATAAAATAGCTTGAACTTGTGCTTATATCCTAGAAGCTTTGTTTAAAACTTTTATTATTTCTGTGCTTTTATAGCCAATAAATGCAGAATTCAGGGAAGACTGTCTTTATTAAAGAAATTGCAACCAGCCACATTTGACCAAAAGCTTATTGAAAGGCGTCTCATGAGCACAGTGAGGTTTGCCACAAGACATGTTGTGACAGCTGCAGAACAAAGCCTTGCTGATGCCGCCTCCAGCTGCCCGCATAGTCCCAAGGAACCCTTAACTTGTCCTTTGTCTGGAGGCTTGTATCCAGACTTAGTTAGTCCTCTAAAAGTGACAGGGTGGTTTTGAACCTAAAACAACAGGCTGGTGGGGGCTGTGATTTTTGACTTGGACTTTCACTATAGGAAACCCCAAGAAGTTCACCTGTTCCAATCCCGTGGATTCTAGACATTCCGTATTTTATTACCTCCTCAATTTCCTCTCTTAAAATCAACCTTATTAAAATGGATTTTTCCTCCATAGGTAATAACTGAATCACATCCCCCACTCTCAATCAGATTTAAAAGTCAAGCCATTTGTTACAGGATACAGTTCCAATTTCCAAATACCATGTGTGTGCTCTGTTAAGTCAACCCCCAAGAGGCTTTCACCCTTAAGTCTATATTCTGAGAAAGTTTATATTATGTACCTTACGTTTTTCTCCCCAATAGTAGTCATGAAAAGAAGGGACAGTTTTTCACTTTAGATTTTCATGAAATGTTAGAAAGGATAAGAGTTTTAGGGGCGCCTGGGTGGCTTAGTCGGTTAAGCGTCCGACTTTCGCTTAGGTCATGATCTCACGGTTCGTGGGTTCGAGCCCCATGTTGGGCTCTGTGCTGACTGCCAGCTCAGAGCCTGGAGCCTGTTTCACTCTGTGACTCCCTTTCTCTCTGACCCTCCCCTGCTCATGCTGTCTCTCTCTCTCCTAGAAATAAATAAAACATTAAAAAAAATTTTAAAAAAAAAGAGTTTTAAATGGTGTGCCATTAATTATAAGCTTTTTTTTTTTTTTAGGTTGCATCTGATGCCAGAAGGCAAACACAATCTGCATCTACGTTTTGCAAATGAATTCAATAAGTTAGCAGAAGACTTCTTGCAATAAAAACACCCACGAGAACTGCTGGGATCTGTGCATTCCTTAGTGTGGGGCTTCAGCCTTCTGTTGTTGCCTGTGAAACACACCCAGTCACAGCTCACCTTGCCTCCCCAGGCTTTCTACTTCCAGCCAAGTGCTCCCAGACGTATACAAATAATGACCTATTAAAACCTCTTCTGGGGCGCCTGAGTGGCTCAGTGTTAAGTCTAACTCTGGATTTCAGCTCAGAGTTTTTAAACCTTGAGTTGTGAATTCTACCATTAGCTTAAAAAAATAAATTCTGATTGTGATTTACCTTCTCTCAAATGGATTTACATGAAGCATTTGGAGTATTTATGGACTGTTATTTCAGGGTACCTTGAATCTTAAATTTATGCTGTACCTTTTTCTGAGAGGTACAAGCTTTCACTGATCTTTTTACTTGTGTTTATCACATTGTTCAAAGAGAAACAGGGCTCTCCATACTAACATTTTCATAAGGGTTGGTGTAACTACAGCAAGTAAGGAAAGTTTGCTTTGTCCTTAAATCTCGATTCACTCCTGGACATGTTTACTGGTTTCATTTACTTTAATACCTGGGGCCAGTGAAGATGAAAAATAGGTCTTTGTATCTACCTTTACTAAAACAGCAGAGAAGCCATTTAAAAATACTAAACAAAAATCCTATTTTGTTAAGATTATTAAACCCAGAGACTTATTTAAAAAGTTTTTAGCGGAAGGGCACCTGGGTGGCTCAGTTGGGTAAGCTGCAGACTTCTGCTCAGGTCATGAGCTCAGTTCTGGAGTTTGAGCCTGGTATCTGGTTCTGCACTGACGGTGCAGAGCATGATTAGAATCCTCTCCCTCTCTCTCTGCCCCTCCACCACTTGTGCACACGCCCTCTCTCTCAAACATTAAAAATGAAAAAAAAAAAAAGATGCAGTGAGTTAAAGAAAAACAAAAAAGGATTTAGTGGAATAAAAATTACCTGAAATGAAAATAAAGATCACAAAGTTTTAGACACATGCTTTTTTATTAGTATAGATATCTTAGACAATACTGTAATTTTTAGGAGTTCCACGTTATTACATCAACAGTGTGAATTTCTGACAGAGGCAAAACTGAGCACCATAGTATACAAATAGAAAGACCATGCTTGATTGAGGACAACAGAAGTTCACTAAAGATGCACGATTTATCTGCGAAGTCCTTAAGCCTCATCCTCGCCCTCCTCCTCCTCGAACTCGCCCTGTTCGTCGGCCGTGGCGTCCTGGTACTGCTGGTACTCGGACACCAGGTCGTTCATGTTGCTCTCGGCCTCGGTGAACTCCATCTCATCCATGCCCTCGCCCGTGTACCAGTGCAGGAAGGCCTTGCGCCGGAACATGGCGGTGAACTGCTCCGAGATGCGCTTGAACAGCTCCTGGATGGCCGTGCTGTTGCCGATGAAGGTGGCCGACATCTTGAGGCCGCGCGGCGGGATGTCGCACACGGCCGTCTTCACGTTGTTGGGGATCCACTCGACGAAGTAGCTGCTGTTCTTGTTCTGCACGTTGAGCATCTGCTCGTCCACCTCCTTCATGGACATGCGGCCGCGGAAGATGGCGGCCACCGTCAGGTAGCGGCCGTGGCGCGGGTCGCAGGCGGCCATCATGTTCTTGGAGTCGAACATCTGCTGCGTGAGCTCGGGCACCGTGAGCGCGCGGTACTGCTGGCTGCCGCGGCTGGTGAGCGGCGCGAAGCCGGGCATGAAGAAGTGCAGGCGCGGGAAGGGCACCATGTTCACGGCCAGCTTGCGCAGGTCAGCGTTAAGCTGGCCAGGGAAGCGCAGGCAGGTGGTGACGCCGCTCATGGTGGCAGACACCAGGTGGTTGAGGTCGCCGTACGTGGGCGTGGTCAGTTTCAGGGTGCGGAAGCAGATGTCGTACAGCGCCTCGTTGTCAATGGAGTAGGTTTCATCCGTGTTTTCCACCAGCTGGTGCACCGACAGGGTGGCGTTGTAGGGCTCGACCACCGTGTCTGACACCTTGGGCGAGGGCATGACGCTGAAGGTGTTCATGATGCGGTCCGGGTACTCTTCCCGGATCTTGCTGATGAGCAGGGTGCCCATCCCCGACCCCGTGCCACCCCCCAGCGAGTGGGTCAGCTGGAAGCCCTGCAGACAGTCACAGCTTTCCGATTCCTTCCTCACCACGTCCAGGACCGAGTCGACCAGCTCGGCCCCCTCTGTGTAGTGGCCCTTCGCCCAATTGTTTCCGGCACCACTCTGGCCTGCCAGAACGAAAGGAGAATAATAGACACTAAAACATAAGGAAATCTGAATTCTTTCATTTTGACTGTGGACTAATCTTAGAGTTGCAGATTCTTCTCTTTTAGATATACTTTTTTACTTACAGAGACTTTTCTATACATCCATGATCTTCAAAAACACTGGAGATCATAAGACAAAAAGCAAGTTTATTCATATGGAGTTATTAACTGATCAAGAAGATGGTTTAACAAAATCCAACTGGTTTTAAAATTAGGAACAGAAACCTGTGAATAGGTATAATAACAGAGAAGGGCAAGGGCACAGTATGATCTGAAGAGAAGATGGGTTCCAAGCCACTGTCTCCACTTCTGGTCATAACCTGTACCTTTGGCCTTTGGCTTCCTTAAGTCATTACCTGCTGTCTCTGGTCCTCTGACATTATCAGCAGCCTGTTAACTCCTGTTGGAAGGTTTATCACTGCTCAGTATTCTTTACTGTCACGGGCTGCTCTGTAGTGGGAGGATCAAAGAAACCCTCTGCAGGCTGACAGCCCTTTGAACTGCCCAGAGAAGGACCACAGAAGTGGCTACCCCAGGATTAAGTGGAATTAGGCCAGGACTCAAGACTGCCCATGGACACCGTCTCCACCCTAGCATTCAGCACGAAGAACTATGATTTCCATAGTGTTGAGACTCACTGAGCCATTTGCCATCGATCATGACTACATACCGAACACGAAGTTGTCTGGCCTGAAGATCTGGCCAAATGGTCCAGACCTGACCGAGTCCATGGTGCCAGGCTCCAGATCCACCAGGATGGCCCGAGGTACATATTTGTTACCTGTGAGGAACAGAGCCAGACTTAGACCTACAGGGGGCAAAGGAATCAGAGACAAGGCTGTGCTCTATGTGCCTTTCATGGCAGAGTGATTAGAGAAAATTCTAGCATCTGGCACAAAAGTGAAGTGGATAGAGGTGCTTTACAGCTTTAAAAGAGGAGATGATGGCATGCTTAGTCATGGCGAACATGCAGGAGTTGTAAGGAACCACAAAGTGTACTTTTTGGCAGTCGACGTTGGAAATGAATGCGAGAAGCATGTCTTTGGCATTTGTATGTTCCTAGCACATTCCGTCTGCCACGGTATGCAAAGCAAGGTTGACTGGGCAAAAAACACTGAAATAATCACCAGCAGCTTCATTGTAGTACACATTGATTCTCTCCAGCTGCAAGTCACTGTCTCCATGGTAACTGCCAGTGGGGTCGATCCCATGCTCATCACTGATGACCTCCCAAAACTGAGGAGAAAAAAAAAAAATCACATGATGGCCTGGCATCCTAAATATCAGTAAGGATGGCCCTTTTCTCCCTGTCACGTCCCTGGAACGGTGGCCACTGTGGGCAGACAGTGAAGGAGTCCTATAGCCGCAAGCCCCTGTTCCTGCAGCAGCTGCTGCAGAGGGGCTTGGAAATCCGCAGAGCATCGGCCATACTAGGGCGACAGACTGAAACGCTGGGAAGGGCACTGAACCAGGAGGGTGAGCCCAGCAGATGCCCTTGTGGGGAAAGCTGTGGATGCTGGGGAGGCCGTCACCCCCAGGCAGGGCTGCATGTCGCAGCATCCCAGCTGATGGATGGGTGCTGCCAGCCAGGTTCAAGGACCACTTGGACCCCGCCCCGCGACTGCCTCCAGGGATCAGTGTCTCCTGGCGCAAACCCCACCCAGCCCTCTAGGCAGCGCAGTTTTCTACCACTGACGTCCTGTGGCCTGTCGCCCCTGCCCCCAGCAGGGGATGGGGGCGTAGGGAAGGGCGGGCAGGAGGAGTCTGGGAGCCCGACTGGCGACAGTGGCCAGAGCTGGGCACGGGGAGGGCACAGGCTCCCATTGTGAATTTGCGGCAGGAAAGGGGGCGGGGAGGTTGGGGTGGGCAATATGGCGGTTCTGAAAGAGACCACGTCCCTGTCCAGGCTCCCGCCCACACCCTTGCACCACCACGCTGGCTCCTGCCTCGCCCACTGCGGTGGGAAGTCCCAGCCCCAGGACGGTCACCTGCCGCCTCGCAGACAGGACGTCAGACTCTGACATTATGTATCATCACGTCCAGATGGTGCTCCTATTAGGGAAATTATCTAACATCCTCGTCTTTGTAACCCAACAAGGAGTCTCTCCCTCATGTCACCCCAGTGACATTGCATTTTTTTTATTCAAACTATAGAGGAAAATATACAAATTGAATTCCATATGAGGCTACTGGATTAATATGACCGCTGCTCCTATCCAAATTTCAGGGAGTAATACATCCAGGGAAATGTCGACTCAGTCTCGCAGAACAGCCGTGTCCGAGGAAATTTCAAAGGGCCTTGATTAAAAGCACACACAGCTGCGTCGCCGCGCGCATCGTGGCAGGTTGTGTGGCTTCCTGGGCCCCGCCCGGCGGTGGCGCGGAGAATGTGCCACCGGGCCGGCGGGTTACCGCGGCCTCCCCCCGGTCCCTGCCCGGCACCCTCGGGCCCCGCCACCCCCAGCCCGGGTCCGCACCCTCGGGGCCTGCCTTCCCCTGCCCAGCCCCTGCCGGGTGGCGCGCCCACCTTGGCGCCGATCTGGTTGCCGCACTGGCCCGCCTGGATGTGCACGATCTCGCGCATGGTGCCGGCTGCGGAGCGGGTGGAGGCGCTGGCCCTCGGAGCTGTGCGCGCGGCGCGACCGGCGGACTCCGCAGCAGAGACCAGTCGCCGCCCCCCAGCCCAGACTTTTATACTGGGGGACTGGTCCCATCCCTGGTCTGGCCCGCGATGACGTAATGGAGGGCGGGG